CAGAATTCTGAGATTAAAGTCAGAATTTTGAGATTAAAGTCAGAATTCTGAGATTAAAGTTAGAATTCTGAGAAAAAAAAGTCCGAATTCTGAGAATGAAGTCAGAATTCGGACTTTTTTCCAATATCAAAGGAATATGATATTTAAAATACATGTTAACTTCATTTTTCATTGGCCATAATCCTCTTCCGTAACATCGCTCAGTTCTAACTTCAAAATAAACTAAAACTTTTGTTTTGAGGTAATAAAGTGCATTTTTTGGCGAGCTGCTAAGCCCAAACTAGCCATATAAATTAAATAACGCGTAATTTTTTTTTTAAATGTATTGTTTGTAGCTGTCAGTATCCCACTGTGAGCACATTGACACAGCAGTATTTGGGGAGGCGCTGCCGACCCGCTGCTCCCAGAGATGGCAGTAGAGCCGTAACTGACTGCGGGGCCTGTGCGGTGACCAGCGGCCCTGACGTTACTGAACCACGGAGTGCAGTGAAGCAGCGCAGAGCCGGGAAAAAAAGGTAAAACACACGGGTCCTTCAGGCCCTCTAAGGCATTTCAAATAACTTTTTTTCCACCGTTAAACATGTTTTATAGCAGTATGTCGACCCCGGCTGCATCTGGAGAACCGTTAACTTGGCTAAGTTTGCAAGGCTAGCATGCTAATAGCTACTGTCGTTCCAACATTAACTGCTAGATAACACCAAACGTGCCGAATTATCACTTAATAACCTATCATAATAATATACCCAGGGATTAAAAACTGGAATTATCCGTCTAATCATCCGTCATTAAAGAAGTGATAAAACCAATAAAGGCTGTGAAGGAGGCTACTTTCTAGTAGCAGGAGCTAGCTAACAGACTTTAGCTTTCAGAGCAGATTATTTGCACTACATCGCGATAGATTAATAATCCCAAACAACCAGATATATTATTCCTATGTGATATGTACTGGAATTACACTTTGTTGGAGGAATTGTGGTTAAAACCTGGAAGATAAGATATACCTGTTAGTAAATGTGAGAAAAACATGTTCTGTGAAGTTTATCAGTTTAACCAGATTACTGTTTGCTGCTATGGTCTGTTTTTTTCACACTGGGCTCTATCGTTATAAAGTAGGATTATTTACGCTTTGGTCGTATATTAATCTTCACCCCAGATGTTTAATTTGTGAACTCTGTGTTGCTTTTAAACGTCTTAAGCTGCGATGATTTGTTTGTGATTTCTGTTTACCTACAGATCCCATTACTTCAGACAAGTAAACACCTGCCTCACCAGCAGAGTTTTAACTATACGCTTCATTTTAGAGCCTTGCTTTTTTTAACACAAACAGAAATGATTCTCAGAATCTTATTCTGCAAAGTTCTGACCTGCATGTATCAGTTTCAGCTCATTCTCTAAACCTACCTTTATTTTTGACAACTGAACAGTTCCTTGGTAAAACACAGATCTCTTAAAACAGCCTTAAGTTACAGAGCTGTTTGCTGTAAAACTGAAAATCAAGTTATTATATAATTATATTCTCCAGGTTATAGAGCGGAGGTAAAAGAATGAAATCCATTGAGTAAGATCCATCTTTTTGTTACCGTCTTTCATACACTTGAAAGTTTACAGTGGACCACATTGCATGTGTTCACAAAACTTTAAAAATGTCAGCTTTATCCAACATGCTTATAGGTGCAATAGGAGATCTTTTCTGATGCACTTTTTTTTACCATGTGGCATGAAAATCTCCCCACAGCCCCGTAGCAAGCAGTTAAATAGAAGGTCTCGAATGAAATGAAAGAAAATGGTCCCCGCTACAGTGAGAAATCAATTAATAACCTCACCCCAGGCTCACACCGACTCCGGTCTTACCGTTGCGGTGCGGTGGGTGCGGCGCCGCAGTGATTCCAAGTCATTAAAAAGACGTAAACCTCTCTCACCGGCTGCTGAGCTGTCCGGCTGCGGTTACCGAGACACTCCGGCGCTGCAGAAAATTCCGCAAGAAAGCTATCCTTGCGGCGTGCCGGAGCCCTCCGCAACAAGCTCTCGCAAAAATCCTTTATTTGGGCCGTGTTATCGCGTGAAGTTACGTGAACTCAAGTGAACTTCTGTTAAATCTCCGGACCTGTTGCCGGAGCCGCATAGCCGCACCGCACCGTAGTCAAAAGGGCGGTGTGAGAGGGGGTGTGCGGGAGTTGCGGTCTCCGTCGGCTCGGTAACTGCACCGGAGCCAGTGTGAGCAAGGGGTCAAACATAACAAAACACGGTCTGTGGTCCATGATTGGTTCCTGACACGTCAATCATGGTTGTCTGCTTGTCCCTCCCCCCTGTGCACGTACCCTGACATGAACGAATCGACCCCTCGATGCTCGTGCAGGACGCCATGGCTCGAAGCTAGCCACTATAATGCTACGTTCACACCTAGAGCAGCAAAAATGTGCATGCTGCTTCGTTTTTGATACTTGTATAAGTTTAGTACTGATGCACGGCTGAAGCATCTTTGCTGCTCCGGCTGCGCGGTGGAAAAAGTGGGCCTGATGCGCGTTGGGCAAAGCTTTCTTTGCCGGTACTAATGGCAGCTATATTTGCTGTGATCAGTGGGTAAAAAATTAATTTGAATCTATTTTGAAGTGAGAAAGTCCTCCTGAAAACATTGTCGGTGCAGTCAGTTCATCCAGATTACCATCCTGCCTTCAAATAATATTTCTGTCGGAGCCGCCCAGACCCCCACATACCAGCGGTGCGTTATCACTAGGAATTAACAGCAGCCTCTGGCCCGGTTGCCTCCTCGTGGTTTGCCGCAGCGGCTGTAATCCAAACTGCGATGGCCAGGATAATAAAAGCAAACATGTTTTGCCGGCAGATTTTGGCATTTTAAGTCAATTTAGGTGTTAATAAACTGTTTCAGAGGAGTGATCATAGCGCTCTGCTTCATCATTGCTGTCTGTCTTCCTGCTCCTGCTGCTTTAGACGCGCTGCAGGACCTTTTGCCTTGCCGTGATGCGCGTCAACCATTGCCATTGCATGTAAACTAGCTGCTTTTGCTGCATCTGCTGCTTTAGGTGTGAACGTAGCATTATGTTGATAGCTCGTGTCACAAGCACTCGGTCTCGGCTTGTTTCGTTCTCGATCTTGGAAACATCTGAACACCCTGACAGACACGTTCATGTGTTTTGAAGTCGTGGTTTCGAGGGGTGGTCTGAAGGAAGAGGCATGGTTGTGTATTTTCAAAAATAAAGCTTGCTGGAACTGTTTTTCCAAGATCTCCTACAGCACCTTTAAGAAGAATCTGCTCTGATCTACTGTTAAGTTTAATAGGTCACCAGGTAGTTAAGCAGCAATTCTGAAATATCAATCACTTTTGGGGGGCAAAATCATTGTTGTTTGTGAGAGAAAACTGTTGTTGCACACAGGTTTTCAGTGTTATTTCAAAACAAAGACATTTGAGTTGATATTTCAATCAACCTTTAGTATTTTATACCATCTTGGTTACTAGTAGACGTCCCTTCATTGGCAAATTTCCAGGAGATAATAAGGACTCCCCTATCCTTCATGCACTGTGATTGGAAGGATTGGAAAAAACTTTGCTGTTATTTGTTTGGCTTCCTGTTTTCTCATGAGATCTTACTTTTCTGTTGTGGCCTCCTGAAGTCACTTTGTGGAAAACGCTGTTTCCTTTTTCTAACTTCACTTTAAACTTCCCACTCATACTGAAAACCACTGAGTTGATTTCTGAAAGTACTGTCTTCCACACATAGGAGTGTTACCATTGGTGTTACCTGGCTGCACTCTTTGATAGATTGATGATTGATCAGGGCGGGTAAAGGATGTCGTTGAATCGTGTTCGCCTATCTGCCAACTTCTCTTTGCATTTGTTTTACAATCCATCGAACGCATAAACCAGTTGCCGGTCTATCGCAGGGTACAACAGAGATGCACAGGATAAAGAAACGCACTTTAAAAGACCATTTACATAGACCAGTTAACCTAGCAGTCAGGTTTTACTTTATGTTTTTTTTTTTTGGACTCTTGCAGGAAGCTTGAGTATCTCTGGGAATACAACAAACAAATGTTCAGATGGGGCTGGAACTAATGATCATTTTGTTAAGCGACTGATATGTATATTATTTGTTCAATTAATCGATTAACAATGGACTATTTATTATTATTTTGATACACATATTTTTTTCTCTTAAATGCAAATTGTTAATTATTCTTTTTCAATTTTGGTATAATTACTGCTTTAAGTTGGTTACTCTGTCAGCTATAGGCATAATTTAGAGTCTCTATACTCTAGTTAATGATTAATCCATCACTAAATTAGTTGACGATTAGTTCAAAAATCAATAAATCTGATTAATTTTTGTCAGCCCCATATTTAGACTATTTTTTGAATCAGTAGATTTATCCAAAAGTGGCATTATGGAGTTAAACGCAGGCATCAAATAAGAGATTACATTTGCCATTTTATTGATCAGCTCTGTTAGGCTTAATAATTGTAATCTACTTCTCTGTGTGTGTCTTCTGCGGTTTTCTACAGCATTCTGTTCTGCTGTTTGTTTTGGATTGTGGATTTCTGTTTTGCTGTCTCTTTGCCATGAAGCCTGGCCTGGCAGCTTGGGTTGTCATTAACCGGATGTGTCGCTGGCAACATTGGTAAGGAACTGCTCCCAGAACAATAGGGGGTTTTCAGGTGATGTCACGCTCACGTGACTACTCAGCGCGTCCGCCATATTGGGTGGCAGCCTTAGGCAGTATTGACAGTGAAAAATGGTGAAAACATGTTTAATTGTTGGTTGCACGGCCCGTGGAGGTGGAGATCAACGCTCTTTCTATCGCATACCAGCCGTAATCGTGAATCAATGTGAAAAAACAAAACAGCTATCTGAACAACACCGTCACCTATGGCTGACACGGATATCCAGGTCCGATTTGGACGGTGTTAAGCTGGAATACGCCAGAGTCTGCAGTGCTCACTTTGTCACAGGTAATTAACTGTCAAGCATTTAAAACATGTAAGAATATATTAATAATAGGGCTTGGGCGTCATGACGTATTACTTTCCGTGGCCGCAATGTTGACTGCCTCCGCCGCCGCTACTCAGACTACTGCCTATGACTACCGCGTACTGGACTCCCTCTCTCAGCCGTGTTTTAATTTGATTAATTTCACCTTAACTTGATTTCAACCAGCGGGAAAAGGCTCAAATATGTGAAAAACCCGGAGGGTTTAGGGAGGTTTGGCAGTTAACGTTACTAACCAAACCTTTGAAACACATAGCAGCTAGTTAAAAGTACATTACATGCCTGAGTGGTTGTTAGCACTAACGGTTAGCACTGTTTGCTGGCTTTATGAGCTGCAGCTCCTGAACCCATCCATTCGTAAACTACACATGAGACTCCAAGGACTTGTAGCTTTGGAACTGTTCGCGCACCGCCGGCCGTTAGCCACCTAGCATAGCGAGCCCTGCGTCGGATTGTTTACATTTTTACCATCTTATTAAAACTCACCCGTCCACGTATGATGGCGATTTCCTTCAT